CAGGGGGATGTTGAAAGTGGTCGTATGTTCGCCCCCCTCCCTTTATGGCATCACATCTCTGCTGAGCTCCCTCTCCACTCCTTCCCTGACAAACTCTGCCTTTCCCAGGCTCCACCCTCAAATCTCCAGAAATTTCCCAACTCAAAGTTGACAACTCTATGGTTTATACCTTCCACAGTCAAATTTAACTGGGTCTGTGGTAGGGTTGCCAGGTCCCCTCACCATTATGGTGGGGGGATTTTGGGGGTGGGGTTCCGAGGTGGGCAGGACATAATTGGATGTGATATGATGACATCACCTGGAAGTGACATTATTGCTTTGGTGACGTGTCAGCAAGCTGCCATGGTGTTCTGTGTTGGTTGTATCTCTGTACAGTTGCTCACCCCCCCCCGCCTGTACGCCTGTATTTTACTCTGCTGTAATGCCTAAGCCAAACAACTGGAGGATGTATTGGGGGAGTATGCTTTACTGCCAGCTTGTTGCTTTTAGAGCCTGGGAACTGCACCTGTATTATGTCTGGAGATAGCTTGGTTCTCAGGGAATGAGCGCGCAACCGTTTCCTTTCACCCGCCAGCGGGAACGTGACCCATTGGTCCTATACCTGGTTCAAATCCCTTTATCTTGTTTGCCCTAACCGTTTGTAGTCAGTTCTAACAAAGAACGTGTTTGAGTGTCTTTCCAAAGCTTTGAAATAAATTTTGCTTTTCTTCAAAACGTGGATTTATTCTCGATGCTTGGGGATCCAACAGGAACCAACCAAGGATCAGAGCTGGGGGATGTTCCCTCTATGCTGTGGAGTCTTGTGAGCAAAAATTCTACTCAGTGAGCTCCTGGCATTAAAGCTGTGAGCGAGCGATTTGGCGACTGCATAAATTAGCTTGCTCTGGAGCCATCCTTCCCGAGCCAAGACAAAAATGTGTGAGCTGGAGGCTAAAAAAACTGTGAGCTAGCTCACACTAACTCAGCTTAGAGGGAACACTGGTCCTGTCCTGCTGCTCTCCTGAGCAGGGCACCTCTGCTGCTCACTCCTGTCCCTCAGCAGCAGGTCTTTTCAAAAGGTACCAAGAAAAATGGCAGCTGCACTTGGTTGGCTTGTGACCCAACAGGAAACTCAAAGGTTCAAGACCACTGGTTTAGGGGCTAGGTCCAATTTGAGTTCTGTGTCCCCCCCCCCGGTGTCATTTTCCCAATCTCATCACTGAGAGCCAATGTAGTACAGTGGACAGAGTGGCAGACTAGTACCCTGAGAGACCTGGGTTTGAATCCCCGTTTCTACCATGGAAGCTCACCGAGTGATCTTGGGCTAGTCACAAACTCTATCAGAAAAAGGAGGAGGTAGAATTATGTTCTAAGCAGCTGAGAGTCCCAAATAGGGAGCAATGCAGAATATAAATAAATGCAAACACACCCTCCCTTCCTAGAGCTGCCTCCTAGGCGAGAATACACAAGTCGCTATAGGTCTTCTCCAACACAAAAGAAAATGTCCATTTTTTCCATGCTCTGTACATTCCAAGTACACCAGAAATGGCAAAATAATGACCATTCTGTCCCTCCTCCCTTCCCCACACTCTCTGGGATGACATTTTCTCCAACATTTGTTTTGGAAAGCAATCCTTCCATCCTGTCTCTTTGTCTGTGTGGGTGCCTTTGCTCAGGGACATATGTAGCCAAATTTTTGGCTTGGGAATTCATTCAGATCTAACCAAGTTCCAATGCTTCAAAGCAAAACATGATTTTTTTTAACTAGAAGGGTCTGTCAAATGTGGAACAAGGCCTGGAAAGAGTTAAAATGGCTGCCTGGTTGCCATGGCACCCTTTCTTTTAAAGAAGAGCTGAGTTGATTACAACATTGGGAACCAAAGGGGAATGAAAAAGGGGGGGGGGGCGTAAGGGAAAACCGGAGGATGGGGGGGCAGTCACAACAATATTCACTCCAGAGCTGGCAGCTGGACCAAAAGGGAATCTACACCCCATCAAAAAACATTCCTGCCCAAACAAAGTATTTTCTCTGGCTGTTTGTTGAGCGTCAGGCTTCTTGGCTTCCCAGCAAGGCTGGCTTCGACTAATCAGCCAGCCTCCCAGCCACAACAGACAATGGTGGAGGGGATAGCTGCCAAGAGGTTATCAGGAACAGATCATTTTTTTAGACTGGCAGACGTGATTAAAGAGGGAAGAACCCATCCTGGGACCTGCACTTGCAGGTGTGCAGGAATAGGCAAGACTCTTGAAAAATCCATGATTGGAACTCCAGATGTGGTGTCTGCCTTTAAGAAGCTATCATGGGGGGGGGGGGCTAGATGGGGAAGGGGAGAGGAAACTTCTCCCAGGACAGGGAGGTCATTTTTTGAGGGCCCATCCTTCCCCAGAGCCATGGTCTGGATCCCCATCAAGACATGGCTGCTTTTTATAGCCAAATAATGTCTGTCATGAGAAGGCTGATTGGAGCAGACAATAATGCTAGGGAAAGTTGAAGGCAGCAAGAGAAGAGGAAGATCCAACATCCAACAATCAAGGGGGCCACAGCCCTCAGTTGGCAAGACCTGAGTGAGGGTGCTAAGGACAGGAGGTTTTGGAGGTCATTAATGCACGGAGTTGCCATGGTCACAAGCAACTTGACAGCATATAACGAACAATATGTTTGGAGTTCCAATAGTGGAATGCCAGTGCCTGTGTGTAATCTAAAAAGGAAGAGTCAAACACCTGCACCCAGGGAACTCAATGCTTTGTGAAGGTGTAAGTAAAAGCCAGCCCTTGATGCCAGCAGCAGTTCTCTAAAAGCCACTGTCAGCCCTGAGTGGCCATGCTGGGGCTTACAAATGGGACCTCCTCGTATGCCTAGTAGGTGTTCTGCCACAGAGCCAGGGGCCCACCCATGTGGATGAAAGCACTTGGCAGAGGCAATATTATGCATGGTTCACGTCTTCTTGGTCTTCCTTTGTAAATTTAACTTAGCTATGAACGGGGGTCATTTTGTAGAAAAAGAGGTGCAGGAGCTCATTCGCATAGCTTATTAGCATAATTTATTGGCATATGCCACACCCCCTGACGTCACCGGAAGTGTGTCAGGAGGCAACACCCACCACTCAGGCTCCACAGGACTGTTTTGGATTGCTAGCTATTGGGGGGGGGGGAATGTGCAGATCTGCCCTCACAGAGGAGGGAGAGCTTGTACCTGAAAGCGGGCCGGGGGGGGGGGGGCTCTGCAACCTGGCTGCTTCTTGCTCCTCATGGCCCAACTGAGGACTGCTGGGAGCAGGGGGTGGGGCTTGTTGCATGTGCCCACCCCCTGGGCTCCTTACTGCCGGAGCTCTGCTCCTGTGCGCTCCCGCAGGAAATGACCCCTGGCTATGAATAACCAAATGACACCTCCAGCAGGTCCCTGAATCCTGGATGGTGGAATGTGTAACCTGGGGGCGGGGGAAGGATCACTCCCTTCCTGTGCTGCTTGTGGGCTTTCTGGCCCCTCCTGCCAACAAGATGCTGGTCTGATCTAGCAGGGCTCTTTTTTGGCTTATAAACAGAGATCCTCGGGCACCAACACAGTATCACAGCTGTCCTGGCCCACTCCACAGGGAGTTGCATCTGAGAGCTTCCCAGCAGACTGGTTCCCCCGCGAGTATGGTGCTCTGCCACCCTCGATGATTGGGTGCCCTGACTGGCCTTGAGGTGAAGCCATGGAGCCAGCGGTCGCTTTTGCTAACCGTGCTTACAGAGACATTCCCGATTGACGAAAACAGCAGTAGGTTTAGGTTGGGCAACAATACCCTATTAAGCAGAGGAAAGAGACAGCAGAGCCAAAAAGACAACTTGGCATGCCAGCCTGAGAAAGAGGCGGACAATGGTTTGGTATACAGACTTTATAGATGTTTCTTGTTCAGATGACACCTTGTTCAGCAAGACACCTTCTTGCTTTAAAAAAAAAAAAAGCCTTCTTGCTTCTAGTAACAGCATCCCAAAATCAAGGATGAGATAACCGCACAAGCCATCTCAGGACATGCAAATGTCTTGTCCTTCCCTGGCCTCACAACCTCCGTGCCTTCCGTGGCCGGCAGCCGTTGTGCGGGATAGGGGTGTTGTCTGTGATGGAGATCACTTCCAGGCCCCCCATGGTGAGCCCTTTGATGGCTGCCTGGAAAAAAGAGAGAGGTTCTCAGACAACGCTGTTATGCTTTAGGGCTTACCACGCGTGTCTCCGTAATCTTGGATTCAGTTCCCATGTTTTTGGGGGGGCACTGCTGAGAGAACAGCCACTCAGTGAGTTCATGGAGGGCCCCCTCCTAGTTGAGTCTGCCTGCCCATTTGAAGATCCAAGGTTTCACTGTGTGTGCCCACTTTTAAATACTGGGTGGGTGAGCGTTAGAGGGTGGGGTCTCCTCAGCAACAGCCCCCAATCTGAACTTCTTTACATAGGAGCTCTCTTGGTGTTGAATGTACAAGATTTAACGCAGTGGCTGGAAATATGTTTCTTTCCCCAGGAGTTTCAGACCCACCCCCCTTTGTGGAGTTTCACCACTGTGCTGCCTTTGTCTCATTTTTAAAAGAAAGGGGGGGGAGGGGACTTTACCCCTTTCTTGCCAGAACAGGCCACATTTGTTCTTTGTGTCCTTGGTAGTGGTGGGGAGAACAGTTACCTGTGAAATCTTCCCCTGAAGGGGTAAGAAGTGGAAACCGACCCTGACTGTTGGGAGAGGAGGAGGGACCAGCATGGTGGGTTGGGGACCGCAGCAGAGAGGGAAAGGACACATGGGTGTGTGTGTGTGTGCTAGCCACGGTGTCATGCGAATGCTGAAAGTGGCTCTCTGGGGCTGTTGTGCTCCTCAGGGCGGAGACATGTCTGTTTCGTTTCTGTTGTTCTGCAAAGTGCACAGATGGTGTTGTGGAAACAATCCACAGGAGCAGCAAGCACATACCAGTCGTCCAGGGCCCAGGCCTTTCACGACCACTCGCACATGGGACACTCCCTTCACACAGGCTTTCTGGGCGAGGGGGGGAGGGAGGGAAGAAAGAGAGAAACGGACGTGTGCCTTTAGTTACAGAACAGGACTGCTTCCCCCGTCACAGCTTGCCCTTCCTTGACACCATCTCACGTCTGTTGGATAAGCCCTAACTAGGACTTTTTCTGTTATCCCACCTTCCTATTCAAACAGCACACGCTACTTGGCTTACGGCAACACAAAAGCATCCATCCCCAGTGAAAAATAATGGCTGGACTAATCAGTTACAGCAAACAAGTGAAATCTTATCAATCAACCCCAGTGGTGATAGAAGTAGCAACCATAAAAAAAAATCTAAACTATCTCAGTGCACACTATAAAAGCAAATTAATTTCAAAGTCTCTCCTACGCAATCCCCTCTGTTATGCTACTGTGGAAAGGCAAAAGAGAAAGCACCAGCCGTGGTTCTATGACCTGGAGGTGGCATCCCAGTAAAGGCCCCGTAGCCTGCATTGAACGGTGTGTGCCCACCTAGGCAGGGTCCGCTGGATGACCTCACATCTAAGCAGCTTTGCAGGGAATCCTCCTGGGATTCTGGTCACAAGAAGCACTCTGAATTCGGCCTGGAAATGTGTTCGGGGACCCCAGGGTTTCCTTGAATGCACACTGGGGAACAAGTTTCTTTGGTGCAAGGGAATCTGTTTGCCTTATCTGCAGCTGGCCAGTAGGCAACCGCAGTAATAGCAGGGTGGGTTAAAACTGATCCTGCACGGTGTGTTGTTCTCTGACTTATATATTCTCCTAAATTGTGTGTGGGGGGGAGAGATAGTGGAAGAAGGGAAGCAGTTGCTTTCTGGGGTATGAATAGGAGACAAAAGGCAAGTGGTATTGCAGGCTTGCATGCAAAACACATTGTGTGCATTTCTAACTCTGTTAACGGTTTCTTAATTCCAAACTGGCTATTGGAAACTTCTGAGTTTACTACTTTGGTGGGTTAAAACTGCCATCTAGTGGCTATCTCTAACTACTTCCTCTCTAGCTAAATAATAATAACTGTGTGCCATCAAGACACAGCTGACTTACGGTGCCGACCCTAGGACCACGGGGTTTCAAGGCAAGAGATAACCAAAGATGTTTTGCTTTCCTTTGCATAGTTTTTATTGCTGATTTCTACTCTTCCTCCCCCCAAAAGTTGGAGACAGTCTTCATTTTCACACTAAAAAAAGTTAAATTTTAGAGTGCTTAAAAGTAAGAGCTACCTGCTCTCTATGCTTTAGCATGAGTCAGTGTTCTGGATCATCTGAAGACTGGCAACTGCTCCATCTCTGCCTGGGGCTGACAGTGTTCTAATCGAATGGCATGGAATCCAGGACAAAATTACCCATCAGAGGCTGCATAGGAGCAGGAAGTTGGCAAGGCCATGGACTCATGCAGAGACATGACAGGCAGTGGAGGAGAGGATTCAGAGGAGAGGAGCTCAGATCCTTGACTTGTTCCTCACTATGGTCCACCTCCTGGTACTTGTGTTTCCTGTTTTTTTTTCCTGTTTGCAGGTCTTTTGGTCTAATGTTCATGGTCCTGTCACATGATTCTGATGTTACGCAACTTATATTGGATCCAGCATTACAGCTGGTGAAGCAAGTTAATGCAGCTGCAAAAAATGCTTTCTCTCAGCTTTGGCAATGAAGTCCGAGGAGTGCCGGGCTTGGGGAGGGGAGAGGCCTCAGAATGGTATAATACTACAGAGCCTACCCTCCAAGCAGCCATTTTCTCCAGGAGGACAGATGTCTTATAATTCTGGGGATCTGGAACCTGGAGACTGGCAACCATAGACCTGGCATGAACCTGTTCTGATGCCACCTGACTTGCACGATCCAAGTAGGCCTGGCTGCTTGCTACTGTTCAACAGCAGCCACCCTATGAAAGCCAATGTGGTGTAGCAGTTAGAGTTTCAGATTAGTGTCTGTGAGACTCAGGTTCGAATCTCCATCTTGCTGTGGAAGCTGACTGGGTGATTTTGGACCAGTCATATACTTTTAGCCTAACCTACCTCACGAGGTTGTTGTGTGGATAAAGGTGGGGTATAAATGAAGTAAATAAAGAAAAAATATAGCTGAAGATGGGATGCAGATAAATGGTAGGCTAGATCCTATGACTATTAGGTGGATCTGTAATTGGATCCTATGACCGTTAGGTGGATTTGTAACTGGTTGACAGATCACACCCAAAGAGTGCTTGGGAATGGTTCCTCATCTTCTTGGAGAGGAGTGACAAGTGGAGTGCCTCAAGGATCTG